CATACGCAACCAGAGCTGCAGACAGAAATGCAAAGCCTCTTGCCAGGACATCTTACCCTTTTCTATCTGCTCTTGTTGAACTATTCAGACTTGATGAAACCAAGAAGAGAGAAAAAGGGGGATATCTTATAGACCATCCTTAGCCTGACTTCCTCCATCCTACTAAACCATAGGTTTAGATCATATTGTATGTATATACAAAGTCCAGAAAGTCCTCACACCTGAGCCTGGTTTGGGAAGAACCACTTTTTGAGAAAACTGATGAAGGGGAATTTCAAGTGCTGAATGTGTCCACAAAGGCGTAAAAGAACAGTATCACCTTCTCACAAAACATTCATTAAGAGCCAAGTATTACGGAAGTGTTTGGGCAGGCTATCCAAGTGTTACAAGAAGCAAAGCTTTCACACAGGAAGCACAAGGAAAGCATGTGCAGCCTCCTTGGTGTCCTCAAGTTAGCTCTACTCCCATGTGTCCTAAGTAACGGAGACTTTAGCCTTAGCTGTGAATTTCATGCTGTGTTGAAAAAAAATCCTAAAAATAATACCTAAGCTGTGCTTGAAGGCTGTCAGCCTGTTTAACTCCTCCAGGCATCGAGCCTAAAGTCTGTATCAACAGCAGAAGCAATGTCAGTGTCAAAATCTCTGTCCAATACTTATGAATGACAGTGCCAGGTAGGAGTAATCAGCTGTAAGAGCAGGAACCATCACGTCCAAAGGATCTTTGGCCTTTCTACTGAAACTTTTAAAGAGCCTAGCAATTAATGATATTTCAAGGAGAAAAAATTAGAAGCTGACTTCCGAGCAGCAAGTCCTTTCATCTGGGGCATGTGGGAGCTGCACGGTAGCAGAGTCATCTTGTCAGGGACATTGCTGAGAAAAATGCAAACCTGTACAATACAGTAAAACCAGTCCTTTGAGGCTTTTTTCCTTAGTTTTAGTTAACAGTGATTAACTACATTGGTAATGGTGTGATAGGAGTTGCCTTCAATTTCTCACGAAAGGGAGGACCTAATGCAAAATCTTGCAAGATGCTACCTGCCTCAGTATTCCAGCCTGTAAACCCTTGTCACATCAGATCAATTCTGAGGACACCTTCTGAAATTTCAGGTTTTCAGTACTAGCAGGTCAGCTGTGTTTGTCAATGACCAAACACACGCTTTGCAAGTTATTTTACAGAAGCCTCTTAACACAGATACCTGCTATCCATCAAAAGAGACCATCATAAATTCAAGAGCAATTTACATTTCTACATGTCTAGAAACACGTTCTGCTTCTATTGAAGTTTTAAATACAGCCAAGTTTACATAAGAATTATTAATTGGTTGTAAAGGTCATGCCTTTTGAATATATGCATATTGGAGGTGTAAAATGTATTAGACTGTGCTGTTATACTTAGGCTCAATGCTGAATTTGGATTAAAAGGTGTTATATTGATTTGATGAGCTACTCATATATGCTGAAGCTTTAATTGAATGTATTAGATGTTAATTCTAACAGATACGCTCTCAAAAGTAGTAGCTTAGTGATGTGAAATTGCTTTCTAGTACAGGCCTTTGCCAGTTTTCAAGAAAGAGAAAGAGGTATTTTGGAGTCTTTAATCTGAGACTATATGCTAATAAATATCTAAGAAGAGGTTCTTTCTTTTCCTTTTCAATATGGATGAGTGCCCTTTGAAAGCCAGAAGGGAATTGATGTAATGTATTGATTGCCATTTAAATGCCTTTATAAGCTCATTAGTGAAAAACGTAAAATGCTTCTGAGCAGAAACAAGAAAGTACCATGAAAATAGAGGAAGGCTCATGTGGTTCTTAGATATACATTAGACAAATGCCCTGATGCAGAGTCACCAACAGATGAGAAATGTGAACAGTGCCTGTTGTGAAACTGTTATAAAAAATAGGCTCTCTTGTTGCGAGAGCAATGTCACACTGACAGCAGATGTCATGCACGCTTGAAACTGCAATGGTGTATCTAGCTTACCTACATAGCTGGGATAGCCTCTATGTGGGAGACATTGTGATGTTTAGGGAAACAGCCAAGAATATAAAATAGGTCACTAGTTGGAGCCTGCCCAGGTCTGAAGTGGCTGAAAGTCATCACCATCTGTTCATCTGAAATGAAGCACTGGTGTCGGTCCAGTTCCTAGCAGATAGGTACCCACGCTGTAAAAGAAACCTTCAGAAGTGATCCTGATTGGAAATGGGGTTGGCAGAAAGGAGCCATGGACTGAAGGCTCTCAAGGAGCTCTTTCTAGCACACACGGACAAGATGGTGGGTATTCGGAGCTCATTTACATGTAGTCCCTCTATGATGCCTTAGGAGGCAATTATTCCTTGCTGTTGTCAGTCTAGTGCCTTTCACTGGCCAACAGCAGCCATTAAGATTGCTATCTCTGACTAATATCCTTGAGAAACATTTCATCTTAACAGCTCTAGGAAGAGAGATGCCCATAAAACGTTCTTTATGGGATCTTGGAGAGACTGTCCTGCGCCTCCTGTGTGAAGTCATGGCCCAGCTACAAAGCTTCTACATATGTGCTGACCTCCTGCTCACAGCCAGGTAACTTCTCGCACCTCTTGGGAAGATTTAGCTACTTCTTACATGCCGCAGCAAGTGGCATGGGCAACTGTCAGAATCAAGGATTGCACTAAGTTGCTCAGGTAGCCATCCCCTCAGTTAGAAGCTTCCTTTCTCACTGGGTAGATGATGCTGACCCACTCAGCCAACTGTTACTTAAATTGGTAAAATGCTGGTGAGGAATGGGCAGAGGAGGATATTCCCTTCACAGAAGGAACAAGCATCACACTGTACCCAGGAGAACTCATGGTTTTGACTCAGTCCACTATCACTCCCACTGATGTGCTAGTAGTAGTGAGAAAAGAGCTTACAGGGAGAGAAGTATCCCAAACCACAGAGCAGGCATAGTCTGTGCAGCAGGGCCTCAGAAATCAAGTGTCCTCCAAGAGTCATTTCAAGTTTCAGCCATCATTACCATCTTATTAAGTAGCTAATAAAGACTGTACAACAAAGTATTTATGTGAACATACGCATTTAATCGAAGGCAAAGCTTTTGCCCTTCTCAAATCAACTGAAGAAGACTCTAATTACAACAGTTTCATGGCTGCATCACTCTATTCAAATTAATTACTCTGCAAAAGTTAATACAACTGAAATGATGTTGTGTGTCTTAAGAACGCTGAGGAGAGAGAAGCACCACTTAGGGCCCATTCTCCTTCCCACGTGGCTCATCACCCAGAGCAGGCACTGAGTCCTGCTCCACCACTGTTGGGCTCTGCTCTCCTCCTTCCTCATCTGACTCCTCTCCCTGCCTGATGGAGCTGCCAGCTCCTGACAGATCCTCCTCATTTACAGTCCTGCTTTCTCCAGTACCAAGAGAGAGTCGTGGCTCATCTCAAGACTATTAATAGCACAACAAAGTATTCATACATTTACTAGACTTTGTATCCTTTCACATGAAACACTCATTCCTTTGATCTCTGGATGAGAAGGGATTTCCTTGTTATGTCAAACCATTAAGGAAATGAAGATACACCCCCATACAATCCCTCTTTCTATATTAATGGTAAGGAGATATTCAAAATAAGATTTTTCACCCCCTAAGAGGAGTACAGTGACTGCAAACAGCATCAGTATTTCTAATCAAGTTGTGCTGCCTCTTCTGACAGGGCTACTCCACTCTTTGGCGGTGCAGATAACACTGCCTCAGGCTGATAATTAAACAGAATGCAAATTTCTACACACTCTTGTCACCCTTACACAAGGTCAGTGTTTATCTGACAGCATTTTAATACAAACAGGAGCCTTTGCAACATACCAGCCACCACAGTTAATTAAGAACTACTGAGCATCTGTTTTTACGTAAAGACACAGTACAAAAGCATTATAAAATACCTTTGCATTCACTTCTAGCTTTATATCAGTTTCATACACACATGTATGCATGTATGGTCATGTACTGAAACTTTAAGAAAATTCAAGGATCCCTCATTCCGTATATATCCAAGGAGCCCTCATCAGCTTACAGCAGCAACGTTTTTTGTGTCCCCCCTCCCTCACACTTGCACCTGGGCAGTATCTGTGACAGGCAATGATTAGTTCTGCAGCACTGGCCACTTTTCTATACAAAAACCTGTTGGTTTGAATGGCATCTGATTGGCATTGCTGAGAGAACCAAGAGCTCCCTGAAGGGCTGAGCATCTCAGTTTGCCCTTGGAAAGGCCAGAAATAAGAGCTTTTCAGGTCACAGCATTTTTAGCTACATAAAAGTGGTCTGAGGTTGTATTTGGAGTTCTTAATGACCCTCACCAAGCTCTCTGCAGTTCAGCTTGTGGCTTAGCAAGTGAAGAAAGAAAGGATGACCTTAAATAAAAGTGTGTACTCCCCCTACTCCCAAATATTGCAAACCCAGCATTTCCCTAAGCAAGGTGAACACACACCAGTGTTCTGGGGGACGAAAGTTTCACCCCTGACACTGGCCCCAGCCAGATGCTGGCAGACAGTGAAGACAGCAACAGCAACTGCAGCAATCCATGCACATATAGAAACGAATGGCAACATATGCCTCCCATCCCTCTTCTCATTCTGGCAAGTGAAGATCAACAGCGGATGGTGCTAATGGCTGCCAGCTGGGCAAACAGAGCAAGTAGGTCAAGAGCATCACTCCTGCAAGAGTTTTCCTTGCTCGATATTGTAAAAATGACTGCATTACTGCTCATCAGACAGAGGTTATGAAACGGGTATTAAAAAAGCCTTCCCATGATAGTCAGGTATTCCCAACTTGAGATGTTTCAGGTTGAGCAAAACCACCCATTTTTGATAAATGCTTTTTGATATTTAAAATCTGCACTCAGGCCTGTCCTGATTGCACAAAGCAGCTTTTACCAGAACAGCTATTACAGCTGGGTAAAAACAAATGACTGAAAACCGTATACTAGGCACTTACAGTTCAGAAAAGCTCTAATGGAGATTTAACAGACTTACTCTAAAGAATTCTTTGGTTGAGCCTGAATCCAAAGTGCCATAGGCTATTTCGGTTTGTTTAGCCAGGTCCTCTGCGCTCTCTATGGGAGAAACCATCCTTTCCACCGTAAGGAAGGCAGCAAGATTAGCAGTGTAGGAAGAGATAATGATGAGAGTGAAGAACCACCAGACTCCTCCGACAATTCGCCCTGAGAGAGATCTATGGAAAAACACACATCATCAAATTGCTGTGAAGACATTCCTTGATTAATTATTTTCTTCATTGAAGACAAATTCACATGCATGACCCTTTTGTCCAGATCCTTCAGGTATCTGTGACCAGATGGACTGCGAGCTAGCACTTTGCAGCCTTCCTCAGGAGAGCAAACTCGGTAAGTGCCTGGTCCTACCTAGTAAAACTCTCCCCAGTCTTTCAGTGAAAATAAGGACAGTCAACTAAGAAATAATTCATCTGAGCCAACCCCATCGGAGGCTTGGAGAGGAACAAGCTCTCCCAACTTCCACAGATCCTTTGCTGGAGAAGTCTTTTGTCAGAAGACTTTCATGTTCTCTGCTTGCCCAGCCTTTCCCCAAGGCTGGACTTGACTGCTGGGATACGTCTCTTTTGAGGTTGCACAGCTCAGAGGACACAAATGTACCTTTTACTGCACTTACTCTCAAAATGTAAACTGCAAAAAGGAATGTGAGTAAACATGCAAAGGAATAAACTGAAACTGATCCAGTATCCTTCTCTCATCACTACCTAGCATGAACTACAGACTGAATGTTCATATTGAAGTGAGGAGAGAGGCTGCTGTATTTTATGCTTTATTTTTTTAATTCAATTACAATTTACATGTCGCACTGTTCCAAGTCAAGTGTATTCCTGCTTTATAACCACCAGAAAAGCAGAGAAGAAAGCAGAAAAAAGTTGTGTTTTCTGTTTTTTAGAAGGATACCGTAAGTACCAGAAAAAAAAGCCTACTTGTAACCATGTAATTACAAAATGCCTGGCGGTTAGGAGGTCTAGATCCTGTCAGTAAGAGCTCTTGATGCTTTACAGCAACTGAACATCAGTCTCAAATTGTTTGGTGAGGGCTGGAAGGTGCCAGTGCCACGGTGCTCAGCTGGGTGAGGAATTTCACTGCCATGTACAGTGCTCATTCTGCAAACACAGCGTGTTGACAGGGATCATTTCAGGAGCTGAGGCAAAGCTATTGCCTATGTCTTCCCTTAAATCTACTGATACCAGTGGAGGAAGAATCACTTCCAGTACACTAAGTCTGTGTATTACATGCTGTAGTCCTCAGTTTGTGTGAAGGGAAGAAATAGAAAGCAAGGAAACTCTTACCTGTTCATTTGTTTCCTTCAAGCCCCTCAGTGCCATCCCCAGACAGTGGGTACAAGTTGTCCTACCAACAGATGGGGACAGGAAAAAAGCGAGTCTCCCACAGTGAGTCTGGGGGTTAGCTGGGAAACTGCCTGGTCTTGGCCAGAGCTGGAGATTGCCTCAGCCATTGAAAAAATACCATTAAATCATGAAGAAATAAAAAAAAAAAAATAAAAAATCCATCTAACATTAAAGAACACATCAAAGAAAAAAAATTGCCAACATAATAAAAATAGAGTGATCTGGAGTAAATGAAAGGAATGTGGAGAAACAAACTAAGAGGTGAAGTGCTTCTATTCCACTGCCCAAGAAATGGAAGAAGCAGCTCCCACTTAAGAGGGCAGATGCAGGCTGATTTCTATGGATAACAGCCTCAGAGCAGTTAGCACCCAGGGACCGCTGCATCAAGTCTATGCCAACATACAAGGTGGTTCAAGTGGTTACACAGCTTAGGGAAGCTTGAAGAGTGAAGCATCCCCTCTTCCATCCATCAGGAAGCAATGGCTTTTGCGGTATGAAACGAGAGACCATTGCCATCACTCTGGCCTGAGTGCACTTCCCAAGGGCAAGAAGACATCCACTGGATCACCAACGAGTGGAGAAAGCTTCCCTGCCTTTCTTGAGCGGCTTCCAAGAGGATAAAAGGCTTCCAAGTTTCAACCTGGGCTCTGCTGCTGCTGTGCCGATCACTAACAGGCGGCTACCGAGTAGCTGCAAAGGTTAAGTTGCAGAACTAGAAATCCAGAATAATGTAGTAAGTCAAGGAATCTGTCTGCCTCGCTCTACATTCTTTGTAGGTATCCAGTGAATTCCTTGGGATTTTAGATGGCTAAAGGCCTTTCTGGACAGCTTCCTTACCAGCCTGGGTAAGCTTTAGCTACTTTATACAACTCGGTATCCTAAACACTGAACCGGCCTCTTGCACAGGCTGATGTAATTTTAGCCAGCTACAAAGCACTGCCTAACTGAACTCGTCGTGTAAGGCTCCCTTTGGAGCTGGCGGATAAAAAGAGATTTATCTCACTTGCTATAATGTGGGGTAAGTCTGAAGGTGCCCATCTGTCTTAGGACTTTGGAGGGAAGTGAGATGCCTAACTAAAACACAGCCTATTGCTTTTAGATGGTAATGTCAGGTGAAATTCATCTCCCTTTTGTTCACTCCTCCACTACATACTTTCCATCTTCATAGAAGACCCAGAGTTGAATTCCTCCTCCTTGCAAGGAGGTGGTAAGTTTCAGAGCCCGATTAAGCAGAAGTCTGGCTAGCAGGTACAGCAGATGAAACATCCACTTGCATATAGCAAGATCAGCTTTATCTTTCATATAACAAGATCAGCTTTATCGGGGGTTTCAAGGTTCCCTTGGCCCTCTTGCTTTACAGTAGGTCTTGAAATAGGAAGATGAAAAAAAGACTTGCCAGGGTGTTTAGATAAATTCAGTGTAACTAGTGGGAACAAAATAGTATGTGTTCATTCTCACTGTAGTTTCTCATAGGAAATGTCTTATTTACATTGCTAGCTGTCCTTTCTGTTAGCAGGACAGATAGGTTGCTGGGATAAAAATGTGCAGAAGACAACTATCTTCCAAACCACTGAAACCTGAAGTTCACGCTGCTGTAACAATAAAAAGTCTGTGTTAAGCTGCATCTTCATACAGCATATTACACACAGAGAAAGGTAAAAATATCTTGCCACAGAGATCTTGCAACCTGCATGAACCAAGTCAGACAGATACAGGATGAAAAATGGAGAACAGCTGAGAGGCAGCGGGAGGTGGGCATGGCTGGATCTCTGGACGAAGACAGCGCTTTTCTGAGGGTCCTACATGCAAGAGGGGGGTCTTGCTAGATGAGCACCAGAGCTGTTCTCAGAAGAGTTGAGGTCACTTGAAAGAAACCTGGGTGTCACTAGAGAGTTGTTTCTCCCAGAGTCTTCCAATTAACATGAAAGGGAAGATTAAATATCTGCTACCACAAAGCTGTCTGGGCTGATAGCTGTAATTGGTGGGAGCACAGGATGGGGCAAATGAAAAACAAAACAAACCACAAAGCTGACACTGAAGGAAAGACAGACAGAGAGAGTAGAAGAACAAGAACATGGATGATCATGGCCTGGCAGTCTCCTTGTTCAAAGGACCCCAGTTCCCTCCCGTCCATCTGCTGATATGAAGACTCCTTATACCCACTGCAGGGGCTGGTGTAGAGGGATGAGGGAGAAAAAAGGTTAGTACGTAAACACCAGGCTGGTAACGAGAATACTTGTATGGTTTGTGCTGTGAACCATAGAAATGTTTGTCCATTATTCAGATAATAATGATAGAAAAATCAATCACAGCTTTTAATACCAGCGCCACTTCTTCTGATGAAGACATACCTGTCCAAGTGTGCAGTGTACCTTAGAAACAAACAACTAATGCTTTATCCCAACACGTCATTTTTCAAATGACCTCAATAAATAGATCTTTGCACAACATTATTTTAAAGTGAAATAGCATGTTAACAAATGAGAGGAGTAACAGAGACCTGGAATAACAGAATTATAACTCAGTTATCAAAACAAAGTCAGACGGTGTTTTCAAAAGCAAGTAAAGAGGAAGAGTGCATACCTTGAGAGGAAATTTAAAAGGAAGCATGGAGTCAAATGAGAGCAAATTAGTTACAAGAGAAAAACAAAATAAATATTCAAATTCACATTCATTTTACAGAAGAATGTACATATAAACAAAACCTCATTTATTTACCAAAACAGCTTGAATTTTGCTTCTGCTCATGGCCATAAAGTATTTTTGATTTCCTATAGTAGACCTAAATAATAAGCTTCTTACACTACGCAATTTCTAATTGGGCTCTTCTGATCGATACAAGATGGCTGCTGTGTTGACAAATAACCTTTAACAACTTTGGTGCAAACCCTCCTTGTCTAGAACCTGTCCTTATTCTGAGCACACGTTACCTGGTGCCTGAGCAGCTATGAGCTAAGTCCCTTGCCCCCATGCCCAGCTAGCCCCTGCCTCTCCTGCTGGCCTCATGGAGCCAGGCAGCTACTGAGACAAAACACAAGAAACGACAGCATCTAAAGCACTGCCTTGAGATGCTTCCATCATAGGAACTGGCAGTGGGAGTTTCAGAAATACCTCACTACCCAGCTCTCCTTGCTATTTTGAAAGTCCCACAAAGTCATTCCCATGGCCTTTAATAGGAGTCTCTTGAGTCTTCTGCTGTGAAAATAGGGATCTAGAAATACACCCTCCTAAATGACCAACCTCATGAGATAATTTTTAAAGAACCCCGTCTTTCTTCATCAGCAATTAATTAATCTAGCCTCTTTGTTCCACATGAATAAAGAGCAAAATGAAAATACATGCTCTCACAGAGATTTCAAAGATACTTTCTCTCAGAACTGTGTTACAAATTTGACTGTGTTTTTTCCTGATTCCATTTGCTGCGCACATCTTACATTAAAGCAAGTTTAATAATCTACTTTTGATCCATCAAAAGTGAATTTTCAATGCTTTAGCTCACTATGCAGAAAACACAGCAGCCTTTGATAGCAGAACAAAACTGCTGAAACAAATGCTGATTCCATCAAGGGATGCACTAACCCCATCCTTTGGCTGCCATCTGCTTCCATGTAGATGACTCCTATTAAATACAGAGAGGAGAGTACAGGGATATATCCTCTGGAATATCCACACAGCATACTCACCAAGGATAGATCTAACTAGTCATTAGATGTCACAGCTGTTCCACACAAAGGCAGCTGAAAGAGCCTTTATCAGCAAGTACAAAAGTGATCTCTCCAGACTGCTTGTCGGCATCTCTCTACAAGTGCTGTACGCTCTCATATAAGAAATTTATTCAGACAAAACTCACAATGGAAGAATGAAGCCCCTTTTAATGGCAATAAAATAGTATGAAACATTCATAAAGTCAATGTACTGTGAATGGTGTAACCTTACAAAGATACAGATTAAGAATGAAATACTTGGGAATAGTCCCTTCTACGGAAAAGAATTTTGACATTTAATCAACTTAAATCAACATATTGGTCAAAGGAACAGTGTTTAAAGGTATTAAATTTCTCTTTTTTTCAGTAACAATGCATGTAACTGCCTGTAATCTGTTATCAGGAAAGATAACTAACTGGACAATGTCTTCAAATGAGGGCCATATACTACTACTGAGCTAATACCTTCTGATGGACAGATAAAACATACTGCTGCCTCTTTTTTTTGGTAGGTATTTCCAAGGCACTTATCGTGGTAGTATTGAAGAAAAATAGAGTATGTTCACTTGTTATATAAGGTAAATGGCTGAACATGTCAAAGAGTCACATGAGAGCGTAACAAAAATCCTATGGACTTCTATTTAACTGTCAATAAACAGACCTAGTGGAAACAGAGCAATGCCTGCAGCTTTCCATGTGATGTCCCAGTGCTTATTTCCCGGTCCTTTATATTGGGCACACACATGGTCAACAGCAATTTAAATGTTAAGACTACTCATCACCTTTAAGAGCAAGCAGAGAGGCAAAGTTTCAATACAGAATTTAGGCATAAAGCAGAAGCACGGTGTATAAACAGGAGGAGAACATGAACAGCTATAAGTACGGTGGGGCAGCACACCCAGACACTGGTAACTGCATGGTCATAGCCAGGCAAAAACGTGTGTGTTTTACATGGGGTAAATATGCATCTGTTAATAAGTATGAATCTAACTGCTGCTATCAGAACTTTCAAAACATATGCATGACTTGCATCAAATACCAATGCCAATATCTCTAAAAGTCCTGGATTTTGCTGCAAGCATTAGGAGATTTGAATGTGCAATAACTGTGAACTTAAAGGATCATTGTTACATTATAACATGCAAAATCATGATCCTTTCCATGAAACTTCATACAAGTTTTATCACTTGCTTCAGTGAAGCTATTCAAGATTCATATCACTATATGGACAAGGAAAAACTGGTAACTTCAATGAGCCATGTACTGAAAAAGGTACGCAAATACAAAGATTGACAAGGTATATTTATTTCAAATGTAAGTGCGTAGTTAGAAAAGATATCTCTCTCCTGCTTTAATTAGCAACCTTGCAAAAGGAAAGAACTGCATCCTGTTTGTACTAAGCAAGTATTTTTAGTAATTAAAATAGCTGTAAACTGGTTATTAAGATATTGTCATACAAAATCTAAGTAGTGTTCCATCACTAAGAACCCAGATAATTTTGCTGCTTATCACAAGCACATCACCAAAGTATATTTCCAGTGGAAATTATTATATCTATTATTCAAAAATCATTTGTGCTATGCATTGTTCATTTAAGAATGATTTTCAAAATGTTTCTGTAAAAAAATAAATATAATTCTACAAGTTACTACCAGTGCTCTCTGCTGAATTGGAATAATACCAAACGTGTTTTACTACAGTCTTATTCAGAAAGACCGTCTTCATGAGTAAGAGAAAACTTTATCGAAACTGGCAATGCTTATTAGACCATATTGACTATGAACACAGGGACAACAGATCAGACAGGACTGAAATAACGATACACGTACAGGGTATTGTGCAGTAACTGTTAGACGGGCGTGTAGAGAGACCTGAACATATGAAAGACAGCGGTAAGCAAATTAGTAATAGGTGAGAGGATGGTTCAAGAAAAACAGAACTAGAGAAACTAGGCACAGAAGAAAGTAAAAAGACTAGCAGAAGCCATGATGGGAGTGGAGGTGTTTTAAAGTGCTGTTGCATGTGATGTCTTTAAATAAACAAGTCTTATTTTACAAAGCAGAATATGTTATATGCACCAAGGAGATGACCGTAAAATGAGATATGCAGCAAAAACACGGTAGCCCTCCAAGCATTGCTGAAAACAGAAAACCCTATGCATTTTACAGCCTCAACATGGTGTATATAAGTTTGGCAGAAATGCATAAATGTCATTATAAAGCAATGCCATTCACTCTGGAGGTCAACATTAGCAAGCATGGTGGCTTGATGATGATGCTGAGCATCGAACGGAATGTCAAACCCAAAAATTTTGAATTAAAAAGAAATTTGAAAAAAAGTAACATATATGCACCATGGCATCAGAAAACGACCATAAAATGCAAAAAGGTGATGGAGTGATATGGAACAAACCTTGGAGAAATATCGCATCCTTGCTGCATAAAGGCACCCAGGGAAAACCAAAGGCTGTTAAATATTCCAAACTCATTTGGAGGGTCGGGAGGATTCTGAGGGTCTCGTGGCTCTTCACTGCTGTCTTCCAAGTGCCATTCGTAAGGACTGAATCTGCTGACTAGGAAAAGAACTACGCTGACGCCAATGTAAGCAAAGACTATACACATCCAAATTTCATAAGCCAAAGGATCCAGGAAAGAGAATACGCCCGGTTTAGATTTCTGAGGCTTCTTGATCATGATGGAGATGCCCAGGCTCATAAAGGGTTTGGAAAAGTCTATGACTTCTTCTCGCACCAATGTTATGGTGAGGGGGGCAACAGCTATATCTGCTCTCTGAAAAGGGAAAACAAACCCAAGTTAGTTACAGAACAGTTGCAACACAATCACAATGCAGAGTCTCAGGCTAATGAATCAGATGATAAATTACATGAGCGAATACAAAACATTTTCTTTGCAGCCTATTCTGCAGTCACTGAAGTTAAGGACTATATGATATTGATAGAAAATTGGTAAGAAAAATTACAATCAAACCCATGCAAGGGACTCACAACAGAGGCAGATATGTACCAACATGTATTTATGTTTCTATTAAGTTAAAACGGATGAATAAACACTATGGGAACTGGACAGTGAGATGGCAACTAAACCAATGTAATTTTCTAGTAATGGTCTGTCCCCATCCACCTGCCTTGAAGACTCTGAGCAAATTAATGTGTTTGTTATATTTTTATTTTCTCTTTCCCGCTCTTTCAGCAAGTTCTTTTGCCTTACTAATTAGTCCAGGACCTTTAAAAGGAATCTAAGAGAAGCAAATGGTCACTGAATTTCATCTGCATTTGGGTGCTACCACTCACATACTCCTTTGACACCCCTTTGCAACAAGCTATAGAAGATGGCAAAATAGTGGGGTGATAGGAACCAGACAGAATACTCTTTCTGTGGTCACTGAAGAACAATAGTATGTATTGGTGAGTCCCTGAGAAGTCAATAGCCTGGGTTACCTGAGAAAAATGCAAAGTAGTCTTTTTCAGTATAATGTATGTCATTGTATTTTACAGAACTTATCTCCGTGGATCTATAACACAGACCATGCTCTGAGGCTGCGTCATCTGGAAGCACAATCTTATCTTACTGCATCTGTCATTCACCAGCATGTTGGTGTACCCTGAGCCAATGCCTTTCCGTTCAGTCAATACATCTTTGCTGGATTCCATGGGAGGGTAAGAAAGTGAAGTAAAAAAATGTACTGTTGCCTGGTTAAAGATAGCATTCCAGAATTTATTTTCAACATATATTTAATTGTACCTGTATTTTTATGCCAGAAAGATTCAAGTCATGCTGTTTAGATAACCTAGACTTGATTCAGGCAAGAACTCAAGCAGGTATCAGCATTTGCAAGAGAAGGGACTAGAATGTTAAAAAAAGGGTTCCTTTTCATTTAAAAATTATTTTTATGAGAGCCTACATATAATTTTTTAAATCTTCTATTTTAAGCTATTAAAAAGTTAAATCCTAACTATTCGTGTTACTGATACTTTTGCAGATGGCCTTTCATTGGCAAATTAAGAATTTCAGAAAGAGAAAGTGATTCTTAGGAAAAGTTTAACTTATCAATACCTAAACCACTGTGCACCTCTCAAATCAGATTTTTGTTTCCCAGTAGTAAGTATGTATCTCTTTCTGGTGCAAAATTAAAACCTGATTAAGTAGAAGTTTGAATAAAAGTTATTAGGAAATGTTAATAAGAAGTGATTAAAATCTGTGCCATAAAATAATTGAATATGCCTTTCTGTAAATATGATGGTGGTGTACATGACTTGCATTAATATCTGATTTGTTCTTCCTCCTAGATAGCTGTTTGGTGGTTTGGTTTTTTTTAACATTTAATAATCAGAAATGGTGAAGGCTTCTCACAAGGTTAATCTTGGTATCACTGTTCTGTGCCAGCTGGTGCCCCAGTGGCACTGTGCAGCCATGCCCAATGGACTTCCTCAGTGGTTTAATAACAATCAGACAAACTACGCCTGTGCATGGAAGGAAGCCATTTGGAAATCATGGCCCTTGGTGTACCCTCTCACAGCCCTCCTTAGCCCCATCAGATATCCCTCTATAGTAATTGCCTTTTCCCTTGAGTGACCACTTCCCCTGAGGAGAAAACCCTCAACTGATTTGTGATCACTTACTGCAAAAATCTAGCCTAATGTGGCTTGAATATAAACCCTGAAAATTCTGTCTGCCTTTGGATATTTGGGTGTTTACTGACTTTGCAGATGAAGGTGTTCATCACCTGAGTAACAGAGACTTGGGGGGACACAGGTAAAGTGTGGTAAAGGGACTGGGTGATGCTGGAACTTCTTCACTGCTGAATTCCCTCAAACATATATTTGTCTAGTAGCTGCTGCTTCTTGAGCTCCTGTTAAGTATTACATGTCTGCAGTCAGCAGGTATGAGGTACAGACAGTATCAGTTTTAAATGTAGTCAGAGTCCACGGCTGGCTGGAAGACTAAGCACTCTGACCATGCCTCCTGTATTTCGTGTTGAATTCATGAGGTGCTTACAAGTTAATCCTTACTAAAGCAAATTTAATGGATCAGGATCCCTGCAGAGACTTAGCAATGACTGCGTACGAAGCGAAGCTTAGGAGGGAGGCAGGTGCCTTACTGCCTGGCACTTCTGCACATGGACAGGCAGCCCTGGGACAGCTCGTCAAGGCAGGAAAAGGCTGGTTCAGCTCAAAGAACATTCAGTTTTTGTAGTGTTCTCCTGGACTTGGAGTAGTTTAATTCTCCCAAAGTAACATTTTAATTGCAAAAGTAGACACAGTGGAGCTCTTCCTAAGTGCTGATGCAGCATGCAATAAAGTCTGTATCATCTCCTTCATGAGCAGCTGAGTTCATGTAGGATGATCCTGTGGGGTCTTTTGGGGGGATGAAACTGACGCTGTGCTGAAGCACAGATAAATCAGTTTTTAAAGGCCTCGTTGCCATGCCCTAATTCATACCATACAGCATGGATTTCTTTGTAAATGATTTAAAACTGCATTTTAATATTAAAAGGGATAATAATATTTGTTTTTCTGATTAGTTTCTGTCTTCCTGCTTTCCTACCATTTTCGGTAGGTGTTCAATATACTGGAAACACTAACAAACACCCTCATGCCTTAAATGAAAATGGCAGCAATTGTTTTCTGCAGAGGGAACAAGCATGGGTTCAGACACACGGTCTCCATCAACAACCATCAACATCATCACAGGAAACCATCAACAACCAGGGCACTGAGAGTGGACCAGCTGCAACCCAGCACCTGAGCTTGGTTCCCCACCGCTTCTCTGAATATTATTTGGACTAGAGAGGTTAAAAACCAGACTGCTCTTTGCTTATTTATTTAGAGATACAGTATTTGAAATGGAGAGCTTATGGAGAGCTCCAAGCACCCTACAGGATCATTAATAATTGCAGCAGAGTTGTGAATTTCCCTCCCTGCAGATAAGCAGAACTCATAAAAATTGAGCTCGATTAAAAAGAACACGACCACAACCATGCCTTTCCCTGTGCAGAACTGGAGGGGGGGCTTAAGAACCTCAACAACTAAGCTTTGCTAATCACTCATGACTAATGGCGTTTCAAACATCATCTCTGCTGCGTTTCAGCTGGGCGAGAAATGTCATGGATTCCTCTGAGGCTTGTTCTGCCTTTGCCTACTAGTGTGGGAGGGATGGATTTAGAAAGGACATGCAGCAGAGAGGCACTACCCACTCTGTTCAAAGCTGACCCCAGGGGGCTGCAATCCTCAAGACTCTTAAGGGGAGGGAGAAAAAAACCAAATGGAAATATCCCTTTACATAGGGAA